GATGATTCAAATGCGAGTTTTGGGCAGTGTAGAGTAGCATTTGTAGTTTGACATTCCTCCGATCACAAATGCAGACATGGTTTTATGTTTACGCTGCGCGATGCAACGCAACGCATAAAAAGTATAAGTCATTATAATCAGTAATCATGTCCCCACTGGATGCAACAAATGCCTCGTTTGTAATGGATTTTCAAGTTTTTTTGTTTCGTCGCTCCGACCGGGACACGGCATCAACAGTATGGTGAGGGGTGTAACATTTTCGTCACACGCTTGAGGTATTCAGCCAATCACAACGCACTGAATAGCTGGCCAATCAGAGCACACTTTGCTTTTCAGACCGATGAGCTTTGTAAAAATCGACGCGTTTCAAAAAGGCGGGGCATAGAGGAGAAACAATAATGTACAGTATGTGGAAAATAATGTGTTTTTTTTACTGTAAACCGCATAAACACATTTCATTACACCAAATACACAAAATAATGTTCTTTTTAGCAGCATCATATGACCCCTTTAAGGCCCGTTCACACACCAAGGATGATAACTATAATGATAAATACAAAGTTTTAATAATCATTCTAATTCTATAAGAATAGGGAAGTCAACACTCCAGCTTCAATAATAACAATACAGAAAAACGATACCACTGAAATCAATTTCATAACGATTTTTTCCTGCTGATGAACACTTGACAGCCAATCAGAAAGAATCCACCTGAGTTTAAAGTAGGGATGCACCGATACCGATACTGGTAACGCCAATACCACACAGCATGTGATAAGCGCCATATTCAAAAAAAGAAACACTGACAACAGACAGCAGGAAGGAGTTATGGATGTCTACTACGAAGTATATGTATGCAATGAATATAATGTTAAACATTCAGTATTAACGCCTGTATAGCTGTGTGTGCGAGCTGATAAACAAAGCACGCTGAGTGGATTGAGCACGCGGCGGCGCAGATGCGCGAGCTTGTCGAGTGAATATACCTTTCTCACAGACATCATTGGAAAATTTGTAGTTCGTCGGATATGTAAAAAACAAGTAAGTAAAACAATGCACAAGTTACTTAACGGTAGGGAGAGAGAGAGAGAGCGAGAGAGAGAGCGAGAGAGAGAGCGCGCAATTCTGTTGTGTGATCTTTGATGTTCACTCACTTAGCACACGCATCATTTAAATTAAACGAAATCGTAAAAATAAAACCATTCATAGGGGCATTCACTATAAACATTATTTATTTTCAACCTTAGGCATACACGACTTTCTGGCGAAAGTGAAACTAGCAGCCTGTGTGAAATGCGCTAGGCTGTACTATTCTGCATCAGTACAAACATGTGCAGGCGTTGCGCGCGTTTTGCTTGCTTGAGTGTTTCTGCATTATATGAGTGGCTTTTGGAATATAAATCGCAGCACGTTTCAGATGAAAAAACACGACTTCTATTTCTGAAAATATCAGTTAGGAGATTTATAACGAGTGGTTCCCTTCATTATTACAGCAAAGCGCGTGATTACAGTACTAAGCCGCTGCATAATGCTATTAAATTAAAGATGATGTACCATAGAGCAAAAACAGTGAAAGTAACAAAAACTTGTAAAATACTTAATTAAAATTAAAAAAATATTTAATTGGCATAATTAAGTGTGAAAATAACCGAAGGATATACAATGAAACCAAAAATAATTCAGAGACCAGATATCATTTTTGATATTTTAAGTAAGTAAGTGAGGATAGCAAAATAAAGTAAACTGTGACAAATCATACCCAAAAATTCTTCATACAGTAAAATTTATACAAATTTGGGTCCAAAAATTATTCAGACCGAGTCTGGGAAAAAACATTGAAGTTGAGGTTTGCATGAAGCTGGGTGACAGCATGCCCAGGAGACTACAGGCTGCCATTAAGGCTAAGGGCTGCCCGACTAAGTATTCATAGTTGTGTTAATACTGTCATACTAACAGCTGTCTGAATTATTTTGGTTGATTGTAATCTATTACCTTTCTATCAGAATTATCTAGCATTATCAAGATTAATTTGTTCTGACACGGTTTAACTCTGAGTTCTTGTCATATTTTATTACCATTTTCTAAACTATAGCAAATAAACTGTGATAATGTGAGAAATGTTGAAGGTGTCTGAATAAATTTTGGTTTGACTGTATCTATTTGATAAATGAAGTTAACCAACTAACATTATACATACCCTTTTGGTTTCTGTACCCAATATTTAAAAAATGTACAAATGCAATTAAAATATCGGTATCGGCATCGGTATCGGCAAGTACCAAAAATGAAAGTATCGGTATCGGGCAAGTACTGGAAAAAGTGGTATCGGTGCATCACTAGTTTAAAGAGTTTGAGCAATTAATGTGGCTGGTGGCACAATTGTAGCTCATACTTATACTAACTGCTTGACAGTAATTATTAGAGGTCGACCGATAGTGGATTTTGCCGATACCGATAGCTAGGTTGGACCACACTGGCCGATACAGATTAATTAACCGATTGTTTTAAAATTGATACTGAACAAAAACTAAAATAGTGCTTTATTAACAAAACCAGTACTGAACCATACTAGTAGTAGTAGTAAAAATAATAATAATAATAGTAATAGTAAATGTTGAAATTAACACACTCTAACAAGGAACAATACTTACACAGCTTTCCTTAATCTTAATGCTACAAATGGACTCTTATTTTAAAGTGTTACCATTTCATTTCAACTGTCATGCTTAAAGATGCACATCTTTAAATATATACACACAAAGGCTATAGCATTAAAATTATATACATATGGATATTGTATGTATACTCTCACACTTTAATTGCTTCTATTCTTGAACACTTGATGATTATCTAATCAAAATAAAAGCGCAGCGCTGAGTCTAGGAGAACTCACCGGTATCACACACACTCCGGATGCATCGCGTTCAACTCGAGCAGCGGTCTAAAACTGTTTATTTAATCACCAAACGGACACAAGTTTACTTCAAGAATGAACAATTTGGCATAGATGAGTTTGAAGTTCGGTGTTTAAAAAAAGGAGCGAACGGAAAGAGAAAGTGCAACCTATATTATAGCTCTATAAATGAAGCACACAGACTTTATTAGTCTGTTTTTTTTTTTTACGTTATGCTGAAAATGCACAATAAACAATTCATTATGTACATTAACAACGATTCGGGACCAATATAATGTAATTTAAAGGAAAACTATGTGAATGGCGCTCTGTGGCGTGGCAGGATTTTCTGTCGGCTGCATTTAAATCCGCGTCTGAAGTTTCCCGCTCTGTTCAGCGTGCAGTATCACGTGTCTAAACAAATAGCACGTACTGTCAATGATTTCAACCACTAGAGGCCGCTCTCGCACTGTATAATGTCAGCAGACCCTTCTCAGCCGCTCCAGCAATGGACGCAACCCGGAAAACTATCGGCATGGATTTTTGACGATAACCGATAGTTCCAGCAATCAACTATTGGTGCAGATTAATTGCCAAAACCGATACATCGGTCGACCTCTAGTAATTATACACACTTTAAGTTAAATTACCATATTGACCCGAATATAAGACAATGTTTTTTTCTTGGAAATACATCTGAAAAAACGCGGTCGTCTTATATTCAGGGTCTAGACTTTGACATGTCAATAATACACCCACAACAATAGGTGGTGCCAAATACGCATAAAATGAGTGTGCCATGAAATACGTAATGTAATGCGTGTTGTAAAGATCACGAGTAAAGAAAACCTTACAGCTGCATGAGTCGTGACTGTCACGTTAGCCTGATGGAACCAAACAACCTTTGTGATTTTAAGACAGTACCCAGATTTGAAGACTACAGTAAGATTTAACTTCTACTGTTAATAAGATTTTGGTAGGCTACTATTAGATGGATAGCCTAAACGTCCTAATTGAGATGGGCTACCTGTTTTTTTTTTTAATGGTACATCAAAAAGTGTATATTTTTTTTAATGTGATTGTTAGTACATTTGACCAGTTTTTACCATACTTTCAAAACAAAAATTAAAATAGGAAAAATATGCAATATGAAAATAATTGAAGACAAAATGTGTTTTACTGAGAAAAAACAAGATTTGTTTTTTTAAAAGCCTTTTTCCAAAAGGTACATCTGGAAAAAGGGGGGTCGTCTTATATTCGGGCTAATACGGTACTTCTAGCTTTTAATATAAGAGGCCTCCTTGATTATTAACGAATCCAAAGTTATTCAAAAATGAAGAAAATATAACGTTAAAAAAGCATTCAGAAAGATATAATACTAGTGTCTGTTACGCACTAAAAATCAGCAGCAGACTGCTGAGAAAGTCATTTGTGGAATGCACTATTCATAGAAAAGCACCCCAACTCACCTCAAAATATAAATATGGTTTTAAAGTCTGGCTGTAGTTAATAATGGATGAGCAGCCTTCCCTATATTACCAGTTTGGGTCATACAGCATTTAGTCTGTTACACTTACACAAAGTACCCAAAAGCGGCCCAAGATAGACTTAGAGCTACAAAGCAAAAACTCTCTCCAATGAATTTCAGTCCGAAAACAACTGCCAGCCTTATTCATACAGAAGACATTTAGCTAAACGCAACAATCATACTTCTCAATGTGGGGTTTCACCTCTAATCTTTAATATTTTGTTACATTCTTTCTAACTGCTATGCTGTGAATGAAACTGAGTGTATACAGGTGTGTTTCTGAGTCACAGGACAGCTTATAGTGGTTTGATATTACATGATCAATGATCTTACTTGACGTCTGAAAACAATTTTAGACAAGTTATTGTTAGTTTATGTAACTGCATGAAGTGCATGTGTCATTATTTTGGGGGATTGCTACATGGGGTTTCTGCAGTAACTCTTTATAGAAACGTGTAACATCGTGGACATTGTAAGGACATTTTTCAAAAGGGAGCCAAACATTTCTAGCCTTATACATACAGTATGCACTTGTTCCCAGCATGCACTTGATTGTTAAACGTTACTGTGGTGACTTACAGGTAATATGTGAAAGCGCTGAGGCCGGTGGGGACGGTGGTCAGTCCTCGTCCAGAGCAGTCCGCTCCTCCGTCCTCATCGCAGCGGCACAGCGGAGAGCATGTGGCCGGAGTGGACTGTCCCTCTCCCGCAGCAACAGCACAACACCAAAACCCCAGCATAAGCATCCGGACGGCCAGCAATGCCATTATTCTCCTCCTCCTTTCGACCCTCGAAGCAAATGCGTGGTGTTTGGTTCGCCAGCAGACCGAGGTGTTGATAGTTCCTTAAACAAGTACGATATCAGACTCTCAGAAGACTTGGAATTCGCTGGGCTCAAATTTAGACGTGATGTGGGCGAGTTAACGGACTAAAATTAAGCTACAACATGTCTTATTGTTGATAGTGCCCCAAAAGAAACGTTAAGCTACCTGCTTTTCTTTCAGTTTTGATCGGTGTAAGTAAGTGCTCTTACCTAATGCCCGCGAACGATAAGCAGATCGGGCCAGTCAACGGTCATTCTGCGCGGAGTCTCGAGCCTCACACCTCCGAAAACACACCAAATAAACACCTTTAGCTTGGATTCCCGCGTCTAAACAAACAGGGCTCCGGGTTTCCCTGATTCGCTAAGCGCCCGCTTACAGAAAAACACTCACAAAACCGCGACGAAACACGGCGCTTACAACAGTATTTTTTCACTCTCTCGCTCTCTCTCTCTCTGATTTGTTTCCTGTAGAAAACACGGTCAGCTCTCCGTCGAGCCTCAGGTTTCCTCCTCCTCTCTCTCATGTCTTATTGTTGATAGTGCCCCAAAAGAAACGTTAAGCTACCTGCTTTTCTTTCAGTTTTGATCGGTGTAAGTAAGTGCTCTTACCTAATGCCCGCGAACGATAAGCAGATCGGGCCAGTCAACGGTCATTCTGCGCGGAGTCTCGAGCCTCACACCTCCGAAAACACACCAAATAAACACCTTTAGCTTGGATTCCCGCGTCTAAACAAACAGGGCTCCAGGTTTCCCTGATTCGCTAAGCGCCCGCTTACAGAAAAACACTCACAAAACCGCGACGAAACACGGCGCTTACAACAGTATTTTTTCACTCTCTCTCTCTCTCTCTCTGATTTGTTTCCTGTAGAAAACACGGTCAGCTCTCCGTCGAGCCTCAGGTTTCCTCCTCCTCTCTCTCTCTCTTTCTTTCTCTCTCTCTCTCTCTCTCTCTCTCTCTCTCTCTTTCTCTGCAGGACAGCCAGTGAGGTGCTGAATATGTTAATACAGGCCTACATATTAATGATTATTCGACGTTAGCAGTATACTATGAAACTGAAGGCAGAAAACTTATGACTAAAATATTCAAAAGCTTTATTTACATACGGTGGCAAGAAACAGATAATGGAATAATAATTAAAAAAAAAACAGAATAGCAGATGAAAAATATTGCCATGTTGGACATAGGCCTAATTTAAAGTTGTCCTCTGTGAATCAATAAAACTACAAACCCTTTATTAAAAGCTCTTTATTCACCAGTAGAAATGTGGAAAAAAAGACTTGAGGTTATTCAAAAGAGATAATCTGGAAAAGAGTACAAAATCTGAGTAGGCCTATTTGTATATATATATATATATATATATATATATACTCTAAATATAGGCCTTATTTGTTAAATTTCAGAAAGTTACCATCCTAAGGTAGGCTAGTTAAACCAAAACACATAAAAGAAAAAAAAGGCTGTATACAAACACAGGCAGTTACACAGGTCAGCTGAGAACAGAGTATAGTTAATTGAACATTTTCAGAAATCATGTTTCAGATGAGCATGTTCATAAATCATTTTCATAAATCACGTGTTTCAGATGGACATAAATCATGTGTTTATTATGCATTTGGCATAGCCTATGCGTTTATCCAATGGGACTTACATTACATTCAAGATACATTTGATCAGTGCTTGCTTTCCCTAGGAATCAAACCCATGACCCTGACATTGCTAGTGCCACGCTCTATACTGTTTGAGCTACAGAAAGAAAAGATACACATAACACGAGCCTGCATAGAATGAAAAAAAAACACATAACTTCGCCACACATCCACAAAGCGGTATCATAATACTAGTTTTCAGGAGTAAACCTGAGTACAAAAGTTAGAGCATGTGTATACTTATTATAAAAATAGAGAAAAATTAGAAAGCTTATAACATTTTAAGATATAATAATAATTCAAAGCCTTATGTGTAGTGTAAACATTAAAAATAAAGTTGCTTTGAAAGAGCTTTAAAATATCAGAGGGAACATGCAGAATCTGTAATTCAGTGAAATAAGAAGGGTCTAAATACTTTTGCAAGGTATTGTTTATTTAAAACCATAATTTGCAGATATTTACAGTAATATTTCACCACTTGGACTCTCCAAAGTTTAGACTTCTAAGTCTTATTTGAAAAGGCCAAGAGAATATAATATACACTCCACCCATTCTGCCTGCATATTAGTGCAAACTGTCTGTGATAACATAAGAGAAAAGCTGTCTTAGTCTGCCAATACTCCTGTTTTTCTCAGCTTTATAAGCCATTATAAAGTTTTCATAAATGTCTGCACAGCTACACACATTGCTGCACCACCCATGGGATTACATGGCACTGACTCATAAACTAAAGAGGGTACAAGGAGAGAGACAGAGAAAAAAAAATGTTTCATGTTTTGGCCAGAGTGCGTGTGTAAGTTCTTCCATGTTACCTCCTTGATACAAGCTCTACTCCACTGACAACACTAATGCTTGCTAGATATTTTTCCAGACTGTAGCTCTTTATCTTATCTGCCAAATGCTACGCCTCACACCATTATCATTCTATTGCATTTGACTAAGTTATTTTTTGCAGTGTTTTTATCACAATTTCTGTTATGCCCAGATACCTACAGGGACAGATTTTTCCATGGAGCTGCATTTAACATTAAGTTGACCAAAAGTAAATTACAAATGGTCTGAACTGGCACTCCTCTCAGGATAAAATTTAATCTTCCCATACAGTTAACATTGTAAAACTTATGACATTACCCTGGCAAATCGATGTTTTGTTTTTAGTATATTGTTTTGATGTTCTTCTGATTTAGTCGCTAATAGAGGTATGTCTGCTTTGGGTATGTGAATAATTATAAGGTATGTTGAATTCATATGCTCTGTATGTCAGCATCAACCATTAAGTTTGCATGTTTGGGAAACAGATGAGCATTGAAGCTCCTCCAGCTCCTGTTTCAAAACCTGTCATCACTTTCTTTAATTGATTGTGTGAGTATGGAAATATGGAAATAATTGATCAGTAATACTGTCATTTTGATGCAGGGGTTTGATCTGATTGTTGGTGCAGCAGCAGCAGCAGCGGTCTCAGTTCCCAAGCGCAGGAAGGGTCCACGGGCAATGAGTTTTCATGCAAATACAATTTGCATTAGCAAAAGTGACAACTGACCAGTGAAAAGGCACTTGTGCAACCTGTTGTGATAGATGGCCCAAAGAGGAAATGACATGGGTGAGAGCACATTTGAATGGCACATATCAAGATCCCACGGCAAATAGACAGTGACTATCAAAACAGGGTTATCAAAGCTGTGAATGAGGAGAGGGAGATAGCCTATAGACCACAAAATACAATATCACCTATTGTTATAATGATTTTTTATTTAAAAAAAAGAAAACTGATAATGTGGGGGGAAAAGAAAGACTGAATCTGATTTAGTGACAGACAGAGATATGATTTTAAATAAATAATGAGATTCCTTGTTCAAAATTAAATGAGAAAATCTGAGATAAATTTAACAGTACTACATTTGGCAGTATATGACCATCAGTTTTGTCATAATTTTAAGAACTTAATGTTTTTTTTTTAAATGATTAAAAAATACATGACATTACATTGTACAAATACATTAAAACAAGTCATAAATGTGTGCAGTTATGTGGTGTTAAAAGACGGTAAAACCAATAATCACCAAAGATCATACAGAACTAGCAAACAGCAAAGGCCTACAGAAATGACAGTTTCTTTAAAAAGACCATGTTGCACACAATCTTAGACCGTATTTGGAATTATAAAATACAAATATTTACTATTCTTACTAAAAAAAAAAACATTTTTTCATAATGAGCAATACCTCAAACACATTAAATGGGTTAAATGTAGGCTATTTAAATTAAATTAAGTAAAATCTCTTCAATCAGATAATAGCTGAAAACCTACTTCTTTCCTGAATATTATTCGGATTTTATAATATTATTTTATATAAATTATGAAGATGATTAGTAAACAAGAGTCAACATTTATATTTATTAATTAAGCAGGCATTTTTATCCAATGCAAAATATTGAGGAAAAATACACAATGCACAACACACCCACAATCACAATTCTAAATTTCAGAGAGAAAAAAAATACAGTATAAGTGGAATGTGGAAAAAATAGAGAAAAAAACAAACAATGTTGACGTGTTGAAAGCACCAGTAGGCTAAAACAAACGTCAAAAAAATCATTTGACAGCCATTTTATGTTTCAAATTTAGCAAATGTGGAATTGCTCTGGCATGGTTTGCAACATTTCAACATTGGGGTCGTATTCAAAATACGTGTAAAGCTAAGAAACAGACGGGCTGGCTGAAAGTAATGTCACTGATCATTCCATCTAGCAAGCGAAAACTCGAGATCGGGTTATGAAGTGATCATTTACCGCCATCTTCCGTGTAAATTCGGAACTGCATGTTGAGACTGTACAGAAGTTTCATTCAACATTTAAGTGCAGCAGAAGTGGAAACACTGACACTCAGTGGTATCATTAGACAGGGCTTTTCAACCCTTTAAATGCTAAGGACAACAGAAATATCAAATACCCCTTACTTAACTAAAAAGGCAGTACCCTTAAACTATTGGTTATTATATTGTCATTGTATTAAAGCCAGAAGAAACCCAGATCGTCATAAGGCACAGCGGATGCCAACACCGCCACCTCATCACATTCTACTGGCAAACTGTCTGGGCATTAACTATACCAAACCACAAACCACTACATGCTCAACTACAAATTACAATTAATTTGTGATTAGTTCAAAGTGCTGCCGTGTGCTACTGATCACAGACAGCGTACCGCCCATTATTAGAGTCAACCGCAAGACACTACATGCCACTGAGACGCAAACCCACATTAATGTGGCAATATAGACATTGCAAGAAATGTTTCCTCTGAGTTGCGCGCGTGCGGTAGGCTACAGGTCTGCTATAAAGAATGTTTTGCTCAGGTAGTTGAAATGTCCGCTCAATAGAGAAAAGTTTTGCTCAGCAAGAAACCACTGTCATCTAGCACTAAAAGCATGGACCAGCACACTGTCAATGACATAGCTGTTAAATTTAAAAGCATCTTAGTATCCTCCTGATACATTTCTAAAAATACATTTTAAAGGTGCGCTAAGCGATTTTTGAAAAATGCTTTTGACCACTGTGTCGGACCAAGTCCCAAAACAAAGTCACAGCCAATCAGCAGTAAGGGGCGTGTCTAGTAATGACAGGGAGAAGAGAGTGCTCAGAGTGCACAGGATGGATATTAGCTGATCGACTATATAGCGAGAGATGGCAGATAAAAAAAGAGGAAAATTTCGGAGGAACAAAACATTAAAAAGAAGGGTTACAATAGGGAAGAGGCAGGACTCGCGTAAATAGTTGAGCAACTTTCCAGCGGTGGAGAGAACTCAA